ATATAATAGTAAAAATATTAATAGATCTATTTTTGTATCTGTTATTTTTTCAACCATGACGTAGCCGTAAAATGCAATTTTTGTCTGTAATCAAGGAGGTTAGTAAGTTGAGTCATTATGCATTTTTTGATAGAAATGTGTCAAAAAAAATGTGTGACAAAAATGATTTTTTTTGTCAGTAATCCAATCAACGTGTTTACATGCACTTGAGTAATCAAATTACATGAAAACTCCGGGTTTACGTGAGTCAGGCAGTACTCAGATTTCTGCTTTGCAACGAGCCAATAAACTCACAGAAGAAGACGTGACGTAAACGTAATGTAAAGCTCAAACTTCATGCCGCAGCTTTTTTAAAAAAACATCGACCCACTTTACCTGAAAATATGAACATACATCATCTAGAAGATGAAGAATATTTAAATACTTTATTTTGTCAAGAATGTAGTTCTTTCAGCATCACTCCTAAAATGTTTTGCTGCATCTCCCAGCAACTGCTTGCTTATTTCCGGTACAGCTGTCTGTTTTCACACATGCGCAGACTGAGAAATCCGAAAGAAATCAGAGTAAGGGTTCACATGCACTGAGAAATCTGATTACTGAGCTAAAACCCAGCTCTCTTAATCTGATTTCTTAATCGGATTTCTAGATTGGAGTATGGTGTTTACATGACCATTTGAATAACTGGTTAACTACAGAAATCTGATTATGATCGGATTATTGAGCAAACAACATTTTTTTTTAAATTTGATTCCATTTTTTTTTATTTGATTGACATATCCAGTTTTTGTCTTAGTGTGTCACGGATCTTTTTCAGTAGTTGACACAAATCTGATCTTTTCAAATTTGACCTGAGCCACTGTGGTCCTGTTTGGGATACATTTCCAATTTGTGGCCATGCAATCTTAATGAGATTTGATCAGATTAGAATTCTAGTGTTTTTTTTTTGTCACTGTGCACGTGTCATCGTTCAGCGTTAACAAAGAAAGCAGCGCCGAACCAAAAGTTAGTGCCAGAAAACAGTGCAAAAGCAAAGCATCTGACCCTTTCTGCTCTTTCCCTCGCTCTAATAATAAACAGCTAAGACTGGATTAGAACAAATTATCTTTGAGAGGAAGCATTTGATTAGGATGTGCACATGCGAATGGTTTCACATTAAGGTTGGGTACAGGTGGATACAGGCGGGTTCACATTAATAACAGATATGAGTCACACAACTACATGAACGTGAACCATCAACAGATAAGATCTCAAAATCTCTGAAAAACAGAAATTGAGCAATGAGGTAATATGAGCGCCTCCCAGGTTAAGATCAAGGACAAATATCAAAGATATATTAATATAGATATGCTATGCATTATAGAAAGCACTACTCATGTTCCCAGCCCATTTAATAGGGTGAGTGTGTGTTTACAGCCACTTAGAACACACACAGTCAACCCACGGGCATCCACAAGTCCTGCTTTCAAGCTCAAACAAGTGCTGGTTCAACAAAAAGGGAATGCTAAGTATGGCTTAAAGGTAGGATGCAAACTTAATGTTACTTCAGGCCAGACGCTGCCCATTTAGACCTTGAGGATGCCAAATGGACCATAATTTCTGCTCTATTCCCACTCATACCACCCCTGAGCCATGTAATCAGGCTCTAAAACAAAAATTACTGTATCTATCAGATGTGTTAAGGCCTGGAACAGAAACATGTGGGCTGGTGGAAACCTTGAAGCTTCGGTTAAAGCTGAGGCTGAGTTAGGGACAGTGTGCTGTGAGCATACAGACAGACTAAACCACTTTACACACAGAACCACATGGCCAACGACAATATGTAGCAGCAGTATAAATTATGACCCTTTAATGGCCATCGTTTTGAGCTCTTACAGCACCATGAGTGCTGTAATGGTGTTACAGTGGAGTGCCTCACATAGGTCATGCAGATATTAACTCTTAGAAGCTGGCGGTAACAAAATCATGGTGCACTTTTATATCAATTATTTCTCACTTGTAGCTCGTTAAAATAAATGTTGAAAACCATTGACTCTAAACTGTCAAACTCACATTTGTGTTTGTATGAACAAGAGGAAAATTTTATTACGATTTGAATTTAATGAAGTTAATGTTGGGTCTACAATCATGTTCAGGGGTTATAAAACACATTCTTTACATGTTTCTGTCATTGTTTGCCATCGAAATGGAGTCTGAAGTCCAGACTCACACCAATCAATGCAAAATTGTAAATGAAGTACGATTTATTATGTAACTTATGTAATTATTTAGGCAATTATGCACTTCTATTTAAATAATGATGTAATGTAAAATGAGTCTATAGTAAAATGACAATAATAACTTCAAAATGTTAAAAGAATTTAACTACAAAACAGAAAAAACTAAGCTTACTGTCTCTAAACACTTCTAAACTAATTTAATCTGAACAACAGATTACAGACTAGAGAAAAATATTGCTATACTTTCATATACACTCTATATACATTGTATGTAGCCTAATGTTCCTCTCAGTTCTGTACTGCCGGTTACCATTTTTTTTAGGAGTCCCTGTTATTGTTATTGTATAACAGTAACAAGAGCCATAAAAAACATGCAAATCTATAGCATGACCAGGTATCTGACTGGATGGTATGTCAGTTAGTAGCACCCTTTTCTGCACAGATAAAATGCAGGCTCCTCTTTTGAGAAGTTGGAAGTTAATTAAGGTAACTAAATGTGTGTGTATGTGTATCTGCAGGACTTTGTGAGCTCATCCACCCCTTAGCAATAATCTAACCCATCAGGAACAGTGTTATGAAATTCCTGATAAGTCTCCAGCTGTGTCAGGGAACAATAGCACGAAGGAAATTGAAGGAGAGGAAACTGAAAAAAGAAGAGCTTTCAGTCAAAAGGTCTTAGAATGTCCTGTACGTCATAACGCTAATTAAAGTTCTAGCTGGGGGAGTTTTGTCCATTATGGACGCCGGGGCACCACCCTACCAGTATGTGTGCTTGTGACCTTTCAACTTGATGGCTACAGGTCTGGATATATTGATACGTCATATGACAAGTCTTCCACTGTCATAGTAAATGCTGAGTGCTGAGCTGAGTGACACTTTATTTTAAGTGGTCTTTTTTAGATGAAACAGACTCTCAGTAACATTTTAAAAACATAGAGGGTTAGGATTAGGTTTGGGGTTGAGGTTAAGGCTAGGGTTAGGGTTAGGATTAGGTTTGGGGTTGAGGTTAAGGTTAGGGTTAGGACTAGGGTTAGGGTAAGGTTGGGTAAGGTCAGTTTTGCATAATGGAAGTAACATATTAATAACACATCTACTTAATGTAAGTAATGTATCTCTAGAACATCTAAGATATTTACTTCAGTGTATTCAGATGCTTCACTACTGCTACTTTACTGATATGCTGTTGATGTGTTACTGTTGTTGATGTGTTACTTAAGAGTTTATTAATCATCTATGAAGAACCACTCCAAATAAAGTGATAAAGTGTTACCAATATATGCTGTACAACTGTATTGGTATACTGCTATGTCTGTCACTGTAAATGCATCTATAAAAACAAGTGCATATGAATAAATTTGGTGTTTTGGTTTTTATGACAGGCACGGCCATTCCAGGTGGTAAAACCATGACACGCCACCCCTTTTAGCACTACAAGCACAAATGCCCTGAGAGGTGTATATAAGCTTTTACCAAACACACCTTTAAGATGCTATTCAGTCAGCTATAACTGTTCACTTAATTATATTATAAAATGTTTATGTAACAGTATTTTTATAGTATTTATTTAATACCATTATAATGTCTCTCTCTCTGTCTCTCTTTCTCTATGTGTGTGTATATATATATATATATATATATATATATATATAACCTAAATTCACTCAAGCTCAGACCTTAGCAACAGGCATGTATTCTTAATTTTAAGATGCAGGGATGAGTGGGACACAAGGAAGCCAGATCACACACACATTTTCTAAGCTGCTTATCCTCCTGGGTCACCAGGGATGCTGGAGCCTATGCAGGAGCTCATCACTCACATCTAGGACCAATTTAGCATCTCCATTTCGCCTGACTGCATGTCTTTGGACTGTGGGAGAAAACCCACACAGACACAGGGAAAGGTCACTCCACACAGAAAGGACACTGGTCACCCAGCTGGGGAAATCGAGCCCTTCTTGTTGAGAGGTGACTGTGCTACTCACTGCACCTCCCGGGAGCCAGGTCAGCTCATTTAGGTACAGATGTAAGTGAAGCGCATGTTCACTAAATAAAGTGGTAACCACTTTGTTTTTGCACTGCTGTGATGTCAGTACGGCCCTTTATACTGTGCAGCAAGCACAGTCATGCCAGCAAAAATTGCATTTAATGAGTTTTGTGCATACTATGATAGCAGGCACACGCAATCGCTGTGCTAAAAGCTTTTTTGCTGCTTGCTGCAGGATACCACTGTATGTGGGTTCAGGAAACCCTGAGTTGGAGGCTGCAAATCACAAAAGCGAAGGATGAAATTATGTAAATGACCAATAGATGGCACTATAGTCATATGTATTCCACTAGAATTCCAGTAATTAAAATGCAGCTGGGTATTTATTCTCAGAGTTAACATCTACGCAGTGCACTAACACTCGTAGCCACTTTCCACGTACAATTTAAAATCATGCAATGTTAAAAGAAATGAAAGTACAGACTTTTTTCCTTGTGCTTTTACTCTTTCCTGCAGAATGAAACACTGAGAGTGAGAGCGGTTTACTGAGGAGATCTGTGGTGTGTTGGACATACTTGGGGACTTGGCGGTGGGTCTGAGTGGCAGCATGTAGGGCTGTCGGGGAGGCATCATTGGAGAGGAGGGGAGCGAGAGGGAGATTCCTCTGGATAAACTCAACCTCAGCACCTCATCTGTGGGGTACGGCTGCACTGGGAGGGGGCCGCTGCCCATGTGGCCTGGAACTGTGAGGCCTCCCTCTAGAGATTTATGATGGTAGCTGGGGCTGAGGGATTCAGCGCCTTAGGAGAGAAAGAGAGAAAGAGAGAAAGAGAGAAAGAGAGAGAGAGAGAGAGAGAGAGAGAGAGAGAAAGAGAAGAAAACATTTAGTATATCAAAACATCTTATTTTACTGCATTAGTATCGTTCATGTAGATGTTAATAATTTAAGCATTCCATTCCAAAATGCCATATATCCATCTGCGTAACAATTCTTCATATAACAAGAAGAATAACAGCTGATGTATAATTAAAAAGCGAATTTTTATTTCTCTAATAAAGTCAAATTTAATCCAAATATAGCATTGATATTTATTGTATTGATATGTATTGTAAAGCTAACCTCCAACATCATATATCACGAAAAAAAAAAGAAAATTCCTGAAGGTGGTCTTCATTGCATTTATGGAACACTTCAAACACAGATGTGAAATTCAGCTTCCTAGCAGTAACATTAGCTATCTGACTTCCTTCTGCCATAGCCATCTAGCAGGAAAAAAAAATTAAAATAGCCCAGCCACACAGATTTGCCTCAAGATACTTGTTGTTTCTAAAAAAGTTCCTTCCACCAATAAGATACTTACCTGTCTTGCTGCAATAGCATACATTAAAGTTGAGTTTTTTTCTTTTACCCTTGTGTGATGTTGATGTTTTTGTTACTCAGTGGTCTGGTGGACCCACCGCATTATTGTTTTTTAACAATACAATTCAATACATCCCAAAAAATATTCTGTAAAAATACCAGATCTTTAAAATATCACAAGTGTCCAGTGTAGGGTTCCACACTTTTACTCCAGTGGGTTCACCCAACACCACATGTGTAGTATAAATGTGTGGGGGGTGAACAGAGTGAAGACACTGAAAATGGGTTATTTTATATGTTCTCCACAGAAAATGAGCAAAGACCAAGAATCTGAGGTTGAAATACTAATAAATGGCATCATTTTTTCTTTTGCTAAACATTGCAAATGGGTCCCACAGACCTGAACACCACACAAGGGTTAAAGTTACCATTCTGTAGATACAAGGTTTTGTTTCAACAACAACAATGTTTGAATCAGTAATTGTTTCCTTTTTGGCACAACAGTAAAATAAGGAAGAGGAAGAAGGCCTGGAAGTCTAGCCTCTAGTAATGACCAAAAAGCTTGATCTTTTGTTCATCTATTCCTCTTTTAAAGTATCCCAAATACCCCCAAATGAAGTCGATCAGCCAAGATGGTGCCTTAAGTTTGATTCTCTAGTTTTGCACTGGAGCTACGAGGCTCATGTAGCAAAACACGGATAAAATCCACACTTTGAGAAAGGCTGCTACTACTGTTTTTAACTATGCAATGTACTTTTACCCACTGTTTACATAACAGTCATATCACACAGTGATATAAGTAAGTCTTTTGAGATTAATTAACAGCAGAGATTTATGGCAAGTGTGTGAATTCGCATGCAGTTTGCACAATGCCTATTGGCGACTGTAAGTTCTTCTTATTTTGTACATTAGCTTCATAGTTCCAGTGCACAATGAAAAAAGCAAACTTCAGACACCAAATATGTCATGTCTGATGGACTACTGTGTAAATCTGATTTTCTATTGATCCATTGCTAAGTCCGTATCTGTCTGATCTGCCTAGATGTGAGTCTGGAAAGACCCACAGATGCTCACACTCTCATCATGTGTCTTCTCAGCTTCTATTCGTATCAGTCCCATTTACTGCTAAAGCCATTCAAAACGTCCAGAAAGCACTTTTCCCTGTTTGCATGGTTTCCAACTGGACCCCGTTTCGTTTCAGCCGCTTCATCTTGCCTCCGCAAATCTCATTAGAGTGATCATTACCAATGGTGCTTTTCTCTCCAGCCAGCGAAAACCACAATGAAAACAGACGGACGGACTGCCAGGGCAACAGTAACTCCGACAGTAACTCAGTCCATTTCCCCCTTTCAAAAAGTGGCTCCTCTGGGGAAATTTGAGAAGAACTTAGAGTCATTTAAGGTTCCAAAGCAAGCACACCAGCCAAAAAGCAGCCTCCCTCTGCGGGCCAGGGTCTAATATAGATGTTTTAATGCCTAACCTAGATTGGCGGCATCAAAAACGCCTAGAACCCACTTTTCACTACGCTGTGAAGACAGCCCTGCAGCAGCGCTGGTGAAAGATTCACGACTTCCATGGAATCAAGTAAAACATAAAACCAGCATGTGTGCATATGCGTTAAAAATAAAAGCACCAGGACGTGTTTCAATATACGGACATCCTGCCAAAACTGTAGCCTACCTCTAAAACCTCAGGCCTTCGCACACAGACAGAAACAGAGTGAAATATGTTGATTCTTATCCTCTTCTGTTACAAAAGGCTCCTTGTGACGCTGTATCTACGTACTATGAGGGATAAATTTGGACAGCCTGCAAGAGGAGTGAACAAAATCACTTTGCGGTGACATTTGCTGACTGAGTGTTGAGTCTGAGTATGTGTGTATGACTGTGCAAGAGAAAAAAAAAAAAGGGAGACATGGACAGAGTGGAATAGAGAAATTTTATGGCGCTGAAGGTCAATGAAGTGTTGAAACTATTAGCGGTTGGCTGCAGTTGTGAAAATGTGCCAGTATCGGTTTCTTTTTGCAGTCTGCGGTCTCTCATCTCGGCCCTTCTACTGCACTCCAACAAATCAAATCTAACAAGGAAAGCCATTTCCAGACAGCTAAAAACGATCGCATCCCCGCGTTCATAATGCGGCAGTCATTTATTTATTTCTATCACACCCACCCAGCCACTGAAACCCCATTTACCCGAGATTAAATATTTATCTGACTTTAAATCATTTATATTTGGAATCAGGGGTTGGCACTTGAGAAGGGCCTCCACTGAAGCCTGAAGCTTGAAGCCTGCAGCCTATGATGCATCTGGACACAATAAATAGGACAAAAACATTTGCAGTGAAACAAGCGGATTACTAGTCTGACTTTTTAGTTCTCAACAAACATCAGACTAGATCCGATGTGCTGAGAGAAGCCGCAGTGTGTTGGATTTCGTGTTGAATTTCACAGAATTCTCCTCCAGATCGCTGTGAAAGAGGCACTCATGCTGCAAAAGGAGCAGAAAGTCTGGAGAGTCTGGAATGTGTCAGGAATAGCCCAGACGAACCCACAGCCTGTGATGTGTGTTTTCACGTTCCCTTACAACACCCTCACACACACCTTAGACCATCAAAGAGACGTCTCAGACAGCTCGGAAAACTCCACCTGTGGGCAGCCGAGACAAGATCTAACCTGGGCCTGGTTCCCAAAGAGAGAGGAATAGACTTCAGCTTTCCTGTGACTTTGGCAGCAGGCAACAGACTAAAGAATGGGGGATGATGTCATATTCAAGCCAACAGATGGCAAAGGGTGGAAAAGACAAAGAAAAGGCAAAGAAAATGGGGCGGAAAAAAAGTGAAGACGAGCAATACGCCTGCCAACTTCTGAACTGCAGAACTCTGAGGTCGTGCATCATGTTGTTGTCAATGACATGCCCAAACAAAGGACTTTTGGTCTGAGCTATTTTTCTCTCTGCTGAAAAATTAATGGCATACATTTTCCCCCTGAATGTCATTGGGTCCTCTGAATTAGGAGCTCACTGTACACTACTTTAACACTACTACATAACAGCACGAGCTACTCCAGCTGTGCCTTACAGTCGTAGTTTACACTGGACATTTGCGGCTTGAGACGCTTTGCGAAACAGGTGTGACCTAGGCTGATCTGAAAGATTAAAGACAAAAAAAGTCTTTCATATCGGTTCAGACAGCAAGCTAGCTAACAGCATAGTGCTGCACTCCAATATTTAACAAAAATATATATACCTAGTGTGACTCATGACAGTGGTGTGACTGCAGTTAGGCAAGGATCTAACAAAGCAGTTAATGAGCTGGCTAACTCACTTACCATGAAAAGTAAAAACACAAAAGTGAACATAAATATCAGATAATTACAGAGTCACCACAGCACATTGCTGCACACTGATCTATAGCAAAAGATAGTGTAACGGTTGCAGTGGCGGCTGTGGGGTGACCTCTGTCTAGCTGTGGTAAGCCCTGGAGCTAACATCACAGTTAGCAAGCTGGCTAACCCGCCTACCATAAAGAGTAAAATTTTCAAAGTACATTTTTCTTTAGACACTGATTAAATTAGCATATCCTCCATTTTTGAGATTCAGTGCTGCTACATGAAGAGCTGCTCCTTCAGTGGTCAACACTGACAAAGCAATAGCAGAGAACTTGTAGAGAGAAGCACCACTTTGTAATGTCTTCCAGGTTTCTCAGACGCTAGAGGGCGCTCCTGAGTGCATCCAAAATGAAAGGGTTAAGACGGAGCATTTAAGCAAAACCATGGTTTTATAAATGCTTAAGCATTTTTAATGTAACAGTATACAATAATTTCCTGAACACAGAACAGCATAAAACATTTTAACGCTGCTGTTATATTTTTAAGAGCTTTTAAACTCGAGTTATAGGAGTTTAAAACGGCGCCTCATGTACGGTCATGACGTCAGTGAGCGCGAACAGCCAATGAACTGCTTCGCTCGCCAACCAATCAGCACTCACTAACAGTAATGCCTACGTTCTGCTGTCCAAAACCCGTTTGCTGTAGAAAAACAGAAACATACAGGTGAGTTTTCTTCGCTTTTTTTAGTGAAATACATCCTTCTGCTCTCTAAAATTAAAGGAAAGTTCTGGGCAAGCGATTTTAGCTGTTTACCTCCATTTACTCCCGTTCATAGAGGACTCGATCACGGGCGCGCTCTGGCGTTTTGCAGTCATGTTTTTGATATAACGGGGGAAATAGGAAGTGGTCAGGCTCCTCATAAACTGGCTCGGCAATAGTGCCTTTGGTTGAGGGTGCAAATTCGCATGTAAACGTTCACCAAAGTTAACCGAAATTTTTTTGCAGACTAAATTTATTTGGCCAGAAAATCTGTAATGCAAAATCCCTCAATTCTGTGAAGTCCACTGAAATTAATGCAATGTTGTTTGCTAAAAGTCGCTGACAAACACTAGTGT